TTGGAGCAATGAAACAGCGATCCTCGGCGGGATCGGAGAAATTCCACGTTTTGCATAGGCAAGTTGCTCTGACCTAACCCACACCAAAACCACCAAAATCGTCGGTGTGGGCATTGGTCAGAGGAATCTCGGACTATGCCGGAACGTACCCTGGGTACGGTCCGGTATACCAGAAGTAGAACGTACCCTGGTCACTATTTGATATGGTTAGGGTTATGCCGGAGTAGGCGTAGGCGACTCCCTAGACTCGTTAGTGAAGTAGGCTAGGACTAGGTACGGTCCGGCATATAATATAGTACCAGGGTACGTTCAGGTATACCGGACCGTACCCAGGGTACGTTCCGGCAGTACCCCGTGGGACATAGACCTTCTCAGCGATAGTTTGAGTTTCTACAGCCACTTGAAGTTGAACCGTTACCTTGGTACCCGGTACTTCTTGTAAAGTAATACTATTACTATTAGTATTACTAAGTAATAGTATTAGTAATACTAGTTAGTTCGGCCACAGTGTTAGTTTAATTAACTGAGCTCACTCAGTCGACTGTGAATTTACTCTGTCAACATTCCTCTCACCTTGAATTACAGTACGTGTAACCCATTAAATTGTGTCCCAGAATGTTTCCCCCTACTCTGATACTATGCTAGGGTCCAATAACCTGCCACTAACAAAAAAATTTCAAATTCTGTTAGAAGTGTACAACAACTTTTTCATTGTATCTGGCCATCTAACATTGAATTTCAAATCAGACTAATCGCAATCACTTCTTTGGTATGGTGGGTGCATGGTGTGCATGATAATAATAAAAGTATATATATCATTATATGTGATTCCACATGCATTGCATGTATACATAAGCCAGTGTTTATTGTGTGCTAATCAATTGCAAGGTATGCTAGTTAGAGAGTAGCAATGTGGCATGCATCACCAAAGAATTGGTGTGCCTTAGATCTGAATATATATATAGAAAAAATTCAGTTTCAAATGCCACACTGCATAGTGTTTCCCCTGGCCAAAAAGGTCTGTGTGGTGATAATTTTTTTTTAGTGTGTTTGCGTGTTTCGAGATCCTAGCAAAGTGAGCACCTGCAAATTTTTTTTGAAAAAATGGTGCAATTTGGTGCATTATAATCACTATTTCTGTGGAAGAACAGTGATTTTCGTCAGCGAGGTGGTGTTTTGGACAAATTTCTGTGTGGCGGCTGCGAATTTGAGCGAGGCGGCCCGCCTCGCTTGTGTAAATGCAGGGGAAACACTGCAGCAGATTTGTGCCCAATTACTTATACAGGAGTACCCTTGTTAGCTATTTACTGAGTTTCGTTCACTTGGCTCAGATAAATCTAGCCAATGAATTCGTATTTTAAAATATACCGCAGACCACATGATAAAGACTTGTGAATTTTGTTCCCTAGTTACTTGTGTCTAGATAGAGTATTTCAATTGTATTCTTACATATTTATATACAGTCCGACCTCCTTTATCCGGCCATCCGTTATCCGGAAATTTCTATTAATCGGCCGCGATCTTGCAGTGTATGTTCTCTGTTTTTCATTCATTTCCACCTAAAAAGCTCGCTCAACACTTGCTCAAAGCTCACTCAAAACTCGCGCGATGTACCAACCGTACGTGTGTTACTGTTTGCGTGTGTGTGTGTGTGTGTTGTCCGCTCGTGTCCGCTATACCTCCGGTAAAATTTACGTTTTATTTCATTTTATTTCCATTTCATATAAACCATAAAACACGACAGTTTGTTACAATAATCATAGCAATGAGTAAATACATTATCACATGCATAAACCCTACTGAACTGCATAGAAATGCTGTGTTTGAGCATTTAACTCTCATATCCGGCCAAATCCCATATCCGGATGGGTGCCGGTCCCGACGTGGCCAAATAAAGGAGGTCGGACTGTACATGTATATTGTATTTTTGGGTTGTCAACCATTATTAAAATGACATTGCATCTATTCATGCACTAGAAAACTTAACGGAAAATTGACTTAATAAACAATACAATGTTGAATAACATAATGATAGTAAGTCATTTCATAATCTAGCCTGCTACGTACAGAGCTATACAATACACTAGCCAGAAATTATACGTAGCTGTTACACACTAGCTGAGCATATCTATATATATATATATAAAGTTGTTCAGCCGAATGTGTGTGTTCGCGCATAACTAGAGAACTCCGCAGCCTAGAGGAAAGCAAAAGATATTTTCAGAATCAGCACGTCTGGGAGGTGGTTCTGGCTGAAACAAAAATTTAAAAAAGTTAAAAAGTTAAATATTCATAAAAAATTCTATTGATCAATAGATGGTGGTCACGTACGTACACACAACATCACGTCTCAATCCATGGTGTATAAACGTAATGGCGCAGTGGGCGCATCAGTACAACATCCGTTTGCTACACCTGGATTCCGGGTTCGAGTACCAGCTGGGGAACTTATTTTCCCCTTTTTTCCTTTTTTCCCTTTACCTACCTCTTTAGTATGTATTATTTTAAATTTTAAATTTATTTTAAATTTATTTAATTAATTATTTTTTTACTTTATTAATTATTTTTATTTTTAGTGTCTTTTATCTTTTGATTTCTTATTATTTTTTACTGTTTTGGATGGGATGGGATGGCATGGGATGGGATGGGATGCGGTGCGATGGCATGGGATGGGATGGCATGGCATGGCATGGCATGGGATGGGATGCGATGCGATGGAATGGGATGGCATGGGATGGGATGGCATGGGATGCATGGCATAGCATGGAATGGCACTGGATGGGATGGGATATGGGATGGGATGCGGTGCGATTGGATGGGATAGGATGGCATGGAATGGGATGGATGGATGGATGGATGGATGCATGGATAGATAGATAGTTAGATTTTTTGGGGTATTTTGCTTTCAACCAAGCGGTCACCAGCTGAGTAATGCCACTGATTTCCCCGGGCAACACCGGGTACCACGCTAGTTAGTTATAACTTACAATATTTATTACATTGCATCAAGAGCACATTAATCTCTTAATCACATGTTTTGTGTTAGTTACATAAATATTGTATGTTTTAGTTCTACGTTACATATTAGTTATAGTAGTGCTTGCGATGTATTTTCTAGGCCCAAGACAAGCGACGGGCCTTGGAGGAGACTAAGAACTACACGACTCAGTCGTTGGCTAGCGTCGCGTACCAGATCAACACGTTAGCATACAACATGCTGAATCTGCTTGATCTGCAAACCAATCAGCTGGTCGAGATGGAGTCTAGCATTAATCACATTGCTCAGGTACATCTCATTATCGTATCATGCATCATGTATAGCAATTAGCATTTATACAGGAAATGGTAGTAAGAGGTAATTATTCGGTTTTTGATGCCATGTCATTAGGAGAAAATTATACACATGTATAGATCTGTTTGGTTGTGCATGCATGTGTGTTCATGTAATGTGTATATATATCGTGTTTTCTAATGTTGGGATTGGACATGACATGGATGTAAGCTAATTAGAGCTGTCAGTTATATAGCTTTGGTCTGATTTGACTTGAATTGATTTGAATGACTCCTCTTAGAATCAAAGTTTACAGTCAGATAGATCTAATACACATGCATATACGTACACAAGTAGTCTACATATATATATATGCACGAACCCCCATGTAGGGGCACAATTAAAACTGACCAACTGGCAACAGCACGACTCATGGTTAATGTTCCTATTTGAAGCTTTTGAACATTTTCAGCTTAAAGAACGTATCTGCGTGCATGTATCTGTGTGTGTGTGTGTGTGTGTGCGTGCGTGCGTGCGTGCATGTGTGTGTGTGTGCGTGGGTGTGTGTGTGTGCAGATGTGTGAAGTAATGTACATGTGCATGCTCTAGTGCAGAAACTGTTCCTTAGGGCGTTCTAGCTAGCTAGCTAGCTAACAGAACGTATCTCTCCTATGCAATTTTGCCCGTTGAGTGGTAAAATCGGTTTGCGGTCGTCCAAATCGCGAAGTGGTTTTCAGTGTTCGCGCTGTACATTCAGTGGGCTATCAGCAGTGGGTCAAAGTTCCAGAGTGGGTCCAGAGTCACACAGAGTTCTCTACTGTTTGAAGAGCATGTAACAATACCACATTCTTAACAATGTGCAATGAACATAAATACATGTATAGAGACTTGGTACCGTGGGAGAATAAATGCACACAGTATGTATTATATGTGTGATGGCAGTAATTTTTTTAATGTAAATTCTTTATTTAATCTATGAGGTCCAGTTATTAAATTGAAATCCACGAGGATATCAAACATAATATTCAGAGTGAGAGTTTCCTCCATAAAATTGCAACTTGCTCCCATATAATATTCTCATGCATTGTACTGCAGCAGCAGTACGTATATATATATATATATATATGTGCGTGCACGTGTGAGTGTGTGTAGAGTAGCATCCGTTTAGGGTTTTCATTCTGTTGCATTCAGGATATTTAATAAAGATATACATGCACATAGCTATGTACTTTTTGAGAAATGATATTCATACAGCATATATATATACATGTACGTGCTACACACCTTAGCCGTTATGGCACCATGATGGTGGTAGTTTGATGTATAGATGGATGCATACGGACGAACAACAATGCTGGTAGAGCAGAGTAAGTCATCACGCTCGCCTTAGTCCCATGAGTAGCCAACCAGCAATTACGTTTATGGGATCCGGAGTTTACGGATGCGTTGGTGCGAGGGCTTGATGTCTGTCACATAGCTCACCCCCGACTTCCACTCTTCCTGGAAAGCAGGGAAGTTGCAAAGTTCGCCACGCTCCAGTTATGACCTGCGCTGACGCATAATGAATGGTTGGAGAGACAAGCGTATTCAATTCATATTGGGCAGTTCATGCACTCTGTTTGCCATGTGCGCGCACGCGCCACATGTGTGTGAATGGTAGGGTAGTGCCTTATTTTGAAGGCAGCGGTGGTGGGCCGGGGAGTGGGATACCCGAGCCGACAGAATTGACATGTGCGAGATAGCGAACATAAATGTATTCAAGTGCACTCTATGCCCCTTTAAAATGTTTGCTTTGTGTTCGTGTATTGGGGACTACTAGCACAGCATTCGGTGTGCAGAGATGTACATATATAGGGTGCGAAATTAAAAGAGTCCGGAGTCAAATACTCCCTGATTTACTGTCGGACTCCCTGATTTGACATATGCAGGAGTCTGTGTGACTCCCTGAAAATTCTGCCATACTAACTATAGTTCGTTCCAGAGCACGGCCTCGCGGAATTACTGTATTTGTTCAGCTAATGTCCAAAGAAAATTTGGCAGACGTGCAACTGCATGAATCTTAAAAATAAGCACATGCGTTATTGTTAATTTCTTTAATTTTGAACCTCAGCCTGCGGACTCCCTCATTTTGCTGCGGACTCCCTCATTTTGCTGCGGACTCCCTCATTTTGCTGCGGACTCCCTCTTTTTTAGGGTAGGGAGTCATTTGCACTCCCTTGTTCGAAAGTTAATTTCTACCCCTGCATATATATAATACGTGTCATAGTTTGTAGTTCTATTCAATGGCATTCCGTGTGTGCAGGGATGGGTGCTGATTCATGCTTAGCATAGGGGAAGCAAAAGATGGCCAAGACGATTGCCTGGTGAACACTATTTAAAGCGCTATTCTAAATCTCTACATTTACTTGCAAGGAACTGTTTGTTATAAACAGTTGGGAAACTAGGTTACGTATGAAAATTTATGGAAATGAAATGTATAATCTGTTGTAATTTCGGGAAAACTAGTAATGCAGAGAATTTATAGTAGCAATCAGGATGTTACATGTGAATTGGAACTACACCAATAGTTTAAAAGCTTTGTTATGCACACAGTAAATAAATTAAGACACACAGTGTTATTTACAAACACAATCACCGTAGATGATTTCATCAATATGCGGGATTGCATGTTTCTGCAGTGTCTGACGTAATTTTGGTTTCACTGCATAGCCGTTCTAATGGAAACTCAACTCTGGCATGACTGCTGCCTTGAATGTTTATTGTAGTAACTTGCATGCACCATATGCAGCCTGCAACTCCCACGTTCCCTGTCGAGTTGAGTGCACACTGTACTAACAACGTACATGTGGCCTGTTTCAGTTCAAAATTGTTTTAACATATGGACCAAAAAAATATTTTTATCCAAAATGGGTAAAAGGTTACTAAGTTTGGTACCTTCTTACAAAGGATAGGTGGATCATACAATATGTAGCCTACTTGCTCATCTATATTCGAATACGTGGGTGATCGTTCAATATATTTACACATACATGCTAATCGAAATGCCATCGTGGCATTTATCTGTGTGTCTACACTTTAGCCTTGCAGCCAGCTGCCAACCCAGTCTTTAGCGGTGTAGTAAACAGACACATCTAGCTCTTTACTTCAGAAAAAAAACACGTTTTCTTTCACCGTTAAGATTTGAAGTTTTCGGGCAGCCACAATGTTATTATCCGATTACAAACGTTTTGTAGAAACTTGAATGGTGGCAATCCAATAACCGTGAAGCTTAAATAAAAGGTATCGCCGTTTTACGCGGACCGTTTTCCGAGCAAAAAGCCCCCCCACAGAGCACCACGTTTTGCAATATGTGAAGCGGCGTTATCGTGTCCTCGATTGTTTAGCGATGATCCGATCTTGTTTCGCAGACTGTCGCGATTCACAAGGAGAAGGTCGCGCGGCGCGAGATCGGCGTGCTGACGACGAACAAGACCGCCGTGCGGCAACACAAGATCATCGCGCCAGCGAACCCCGAGCGACCAATCAAGTACCAGCGTCGCCCGATCGACTTCTCGCAGCTCGACGAGATCGGCCACGGCGTGAAGACGTCGAGTACGAACCTGCGGACGAAGCGAATAGGTGCGTAGAAGCGACTGCTGGCGCCACCCGGTGACGGCCAGACAAAGCTAATAGGTGCTTGTGTAGAAGTGACCGCTGGCGTCATCCGGTGACTGGCGGAAGAAGTGAATGGGTGCGTGAGTAGAAGCGACTACTGGCACCATCTGGTGATGGGCATACGAAGCAAATAGGTGCGTGAGTAGAAGCGACTGCTGGCGGCGCCCGGTGACGGGCGTCAGATACGCACCTGCGGACGAATTGAAGAGGCGTGCAGTGATGACTGCTGGCTGGCAGTGACCAAGAGACGAGAGAAATGTAATGAAGGCGGCTTTTAGCAGATGTGTGCGTGTCGGTGATGTTGGTTTCGTCTACGTTCTGTATGCTAGATAGCCGTGTCGTTAAATCCTGTCATTTTGCACTGTGAGGACCTGTGTTTACTTAGCAGGTGATGTGGCGCTATGCTCCGCCATGTGGTTGCATAATAAAACTAGGCATTATGCTTGGTGCGGAAGGGAGTTGACAATGTTCCAAGGAACGGAGTGTTTTGGTGAGGCATGATGTAGTTTGTCTCGGTGAAGGTTGTATCCGAGCTCGACGTCTATGTTTCAGGCTCGAGTTCCAGCAGTAGTCCATTACCAGGGACTCAGCCGGCTAACGGACCCGGTCCAGCGCCGACTACAAAACCACCAACACCTCCTCAGCCACACAGGACAGCGGGTGGCAGCATATCCCGTGCATCAAAGGAGTATAGGTACAGGCCGGTGAACGAGTGCTGACGGATTAAATTGATGACGGATGTGCACGAGAATGCACGAACTCGTTTATAGGCCTAATGCTAATGTCCCAGATACGTGAACCGTCGTGGTTAGCAGTCGATGTGTCTTTGATGCAAAGAATAAGGCCAAATCGTTTCTGTTTTTAATCTTTTGTGTCTTGCATATCTTGATTTCGAAGCTTGGTTTATGTATCTGATACGTTTGTGTCAAATAGTCTGAGATATTTTCGAATGGGATTTTGGCAAAAACTACGAACTAGTACTAGTTACTAGTTTGCTGTCATCCAAAATTGTCTCGCATTTGTGTTTCATTGCAGGAACCCTTGGTAAGTTGGTTATACGGTTATGACAGAGCAGTGCAAGAATCGTTCGCTTTTGATTGCAGACAACCCATCACAGTTGCCGCACCGCTGCCACCTTCAGGCTATGCACCGAATTACCCAATAGCACAGCAGGCAAAGTCACAGCGGAGAAGCAACTATGCACCGTCGCCAGTGGTCAACCCTGTTACTCCTCAGGTTGGAATGGCATATCCAATTGCACAGCAGCAACAGGTATCGTTTGTTCCCCACACATATATAATACATAATATAAACAGTACTATAAAGAATATAAAGACTACTCTAAAGAAATACAACATGGGCAGAATGCAACAGATAATATGAGTCCTCTTTGTGCAAGAACCCATACTAGATATTATGTCATACTTATCATTATGAACACTAATTAGTTAATACGTGACGCAGTGTTTTTTTAAAGTGGAGTAGTATCTACTCTCACTCTCTATGTGTAGCACGTTTAATGTAAGTAATTGCGTTCGTCACTATTAATGTGTTAAAGGCTAGACTATGTGTAAGCATGCACCAAATTGCTTGTATGTTAATTATAGTCCTTATTAACAAGTGGTGCATCAACTATGGATCATTACAAACCTGTCATGCGTGTATGCCAGTCATCCTTAAATTGTGAACCATTTAAAAATGCAAAATTAAACAAAGCAAAATTAATGTACTTAACATTTTCATAATGCTGATAGTAGGATGTAGTATTCTCTTTAGATGTCTGTAATGCTCAGTGAGCAAATACTTATTTATTAAGCTAATCCAACCTGACCAACTTGATTCCACACCATATAATTTCTGTGTACATTTGCAGGATTAGATTGAATTGAACTACAGTTGGAACTGATAATTGTAGTAAATTATAATGTGTGTAACATAAGGTGAGAGCCTTCTGGAACAGGCAGTAAAAATTGTCTTAGCCTTTATAGCCCTTTCATCCTCTTACTTAATAGTTCCCTCTATTATATATATGTATATATGCTACCGTTTCTGTCACCAGAAGGTTCACATTTTATTAAATTTGTTTGGGGCGTAGGTAGTTCACAAAAGGTATATATGAATAAATATGATAAAAATATGAATAGCTGTGTACTGGCAGATTTAGTAAATAATACATGTACTTTTGCTCTAATTTCGTTGGCAAATCATGGGTACTACAGTAGAAGATACCAGAGGTCCTGGACTAAGTAAATTGGAATTCAGGAAGCAAAGACTCTTTATCACCAACGACTCAAAATGATCAACAGTTTTCTGAGTGATCATTATTTAATAGTTTCCTTGAACAGTGAAGAAGGAGGGGGAAGATACAGCCTTCACTGGCAGCACTTCAAATGAACCGTGCTTTTTCCACAGCAGAAAAAAGTCTATATGTCGGACCCAGTGCGGCCTTTCCAGAATGACTATATCGACAAGAGGCAGCAATACCGGTTACCTCCCAGAATGAACCACAGGCCCGACATACTGGTGATGTCCTTTGCACTGTCTAGAACAGTGCTGCACTGCATGGTCGTGGAGTTGTGTAGTGTTGTTTTCTCTAGCATCCCATAGGCCTGCAAGCGATCAGGACCCTTCCTGCTTCACTGATATGTGGAGATTTTGTTATGGATTTGAATGTCATGGTGGTTTGATGGTTTTTCCTATCCTTATTATAGTTGGCACTTAATAGGTGAGCTTTTCCAGTGATCGGAGTGATGGGGGTTCGATTGGATCTATAAATTGTTCTCAATCTTACGTGTGTGCGAGTACGACATGGGAGTATTTATTGGTTAGATAGTGAACTATATAGGGGGTTCGTGAGGTGACAAAGCAACATGTTATTCATGTGTGGTGCAGAGGGCAGAGATTAAAGTGTTTGGTTAGAGGCATCACCAGGTAGTCATCTTATCTATGCATGTGCAAATATTTGTGGGAAGTACTTCTGCAATGTCCAACGCAATGGCGCTTGTGGGGAAGGTGATTGACATGGCAGATATTGTAATTCCTATCACCTGCCTTCTATCACTCCTCTTGCGGGCTGCATGATCGCATCTTGCATGGTTGTTACCCTTTTGGGAAGGTGGCATGGATGAAGCATATCAAGCAACTGTGTCATTTCACATTTTTGAATGCATTTTTGTCCAATGCTTCGCCCCTTCATTTGCCTCGATTCATCTACGCTAGTGTTGTTTGTGTCTGTGTGGAGATATCACAATTTACGCACATTCGACTTCCTGGATCCGGCTGAAACTTGACACAAATACTTATCTGTATGTTTAAGAGGCATTTTCAACAAGCACTGCATGAATTGTGCACTATTTTATGTTTTTATTTGAAGTTATTTCGTAAATATTTTATAGGCCACAATATGCATTTTGTGATAAATTGATAATGAAATCCTTTATGCCGTTTGTAAAGTTGCTTAAGAGAGAGATTTCATTGGAGTAAAATTGACATCTTGTGGCTTATTACTGTATTATAGTAGGCATGTAGCGACAGTCCTTTTTCTAGTCTGGATCTGTCAACAAAATGTTTTTGTTACCTTTTAGAATAGATAAAGTCTGTTTATGTTTTAGTATATATTTGCTTGCTACAACAACATAAAAAATATACTGTCATTTTAACATAAATATAAATGACATAATTTATCATTTTTTATGATTAAACATAATGTGGGCTTTTAAAGGTCTTCTCTGTGTGATTGCAAATAACTTTTGTTTTGTACGTGTTAATAATTTCAATATCACGAGCATTGCGATTAAAAATTTACTAACGTTTTCCGTCATTAACACGTCGTCTCGATTTTTGTCTTGACTAACACGATGAGAGGATGATCAAACAGTTCAGTGGCTTGCTGCACGACGCAATACGGCCTACATATGACTTATACAACATGGCCGCCTCCTCCTGAGTGTGCTGCTAGATGCAGCAATGCGAGGTTGCGTCACGCGACACGGCGAGCAGCACTGAGTGTCGGGGTCGTTGTTACAGGTCAACCACGACGGCAACCCGTACAGGCAACGCGAGCAGGTGTTCCGGCAACAGGTGTCGCCCTCGCCGCCGCCTCCGCCACCGCTCCAGCAGCAGGAGAGTCACTACAGGCAGAGCTACCAACAGGGGGTGCCGCAGACTCCCCCTCCTCCACCGATGTCGCCCGCGACGTACGGAAACAACCACGGAAACGGTGCGTACACGATGAGGTTAGGTTGATAGCTTCGCTCGATGCATGCAGTTAATAAACGTGATCGATATAAGAGTCGGTAGGTATTTTTTTAATTTTCAAACGAGCAGTGCTCATGCATTTGTTGATCTGGTACTGCAGGGTATCTAAAAGAGTAATATGGAGAAACGTGCTTTAGGCTATGTCCTGAGATTTACGGCCTGCATGTGCCCTCTTCGTTGCTGAACAGATTCCTATTTGTTGTTTAGTGTCACCTCCCCTGCCGCCTCCACCAGAGGAGCAGGTGTTTAACTACGATGACTATGATCACGGCTTCGATCATCACCAGCAAGCACCAGGCAACTACATGCGTCAGGGGAGCCAGCTGGATGGCCAGCCCGACTGGATACCGAAATCCTACCTGGAAAAGGGTGGGTTTGTTTCCCACAAGTTTTCAGCCCCTCTGGCCCAGACATGTGGCAAATACAGTTAGCGGTGCAGTATATTTATACACACAGATTAAAGCATTTACACTTAAGTATACAATATCATCACATTGAATGATGACTTTAAACACATGTAAACTTTAGATCTGTAACTATCAGAACCAAAAACAACCATATGCTCTAGTCTAAGACGCCTCGTGGCCGCAGTGGTCTGCACCGACAGACGCGTTTTGCATCGTCGTCACGGTAACAACGGCGTGTTGCAGTGATAGCGATCTATGACTACATTGCGGACATTAGATCTGCAACTATCTGAACCAAAAACGAGCAGTTGCTCTCTAGTCTAAGACGCCTCGTGCCCGCAGTGGTCTGCACCGACAGACACATTTAGCGTCGTCGTCACGGTAACGGTAACGTGTCGCAGTGATAGTGATCTACGACTACATTAACCGGATTTAACGTCGTCGTCATGGTAACGTTAACGTGTCGCAGTGATAGTGATCTACGACTACATTAATCGCGTTTAACGTCGTCGTCACGGTAACGTTGACGTGTCGCACTGATAGCGATCTATGACTACATTGGGCGTGTTTAACGTCGTCGTCACGGTAACGTTGACGTGTCGCACTGATAGCGATCTATGACTACATTGGGCATGTTTAACGTCGTCGTCACGGTAACGTTGATGTGTTGCAGTGATAGCGATCTACGACTACATCGCGGACAAGGACGACGAGCTGAGCTTCTCGGAGAACGCCGTCATCTACGTGATCAAGAAGAACGACGACGGCTGGTACGAGGGCATCTGCGACGGCAGCGTCGGACTCTTCCCCGGAAACTACGTCGAGCCCTGCCTGTAGGTGGCAGCACGGTCACCGTACGGCCACCCTCGTGGCGCCCTGTCCGTAGGCGGCAGCACGGTCACGCCGTGTCCACCCTAGTGAAACCCTGCCGGTATGTGGCGCCATCTGTGCATGCACGTCGCTGCCACCCTTGTTTGCCAAGCCGCCGCGTACGCTTCAAGTGCGCTGGAAGTCTAGTATACAGTGATACCACAACCTTATGGGGACGCGTTGCACCAGAGCGAGTGGGGCTGGAGTAGTAATCGTAACAGAGTGGCCATACACGTGGAAATTTCTGTTGTATGAGTCGGCTCACTTCCGCCCATCTGATTGCTTACACCTTGCGGATTAGTTTGTGCGCACGTTGGGTGGCCGCGCGATGCTGTGTTGCTATGCAGGGGGCAGTGACGGGGTGGAGAGACGATAGCGGCGGTGTCGCTGGATGCTTTTTATTTTGAGGACGGTGTCGGTGTATTGACGGGGCCGTCTTCATTTTGTTATCTGTTTTCTCGCAGAGTGCGAGGACTGTTATGTATATAAATATCCGACTGCGTGTTTATGCGGGCTGGAGTATAAATGAGTAGAGTAGATTGTAAGACTAATCTGTAGTTCACTGTACACAAAAGAGTGTCGCCTGGATGCCTTACCCATGTGTCTGCGTGTGTACCAGTGTGTGTGTGTCTGTGAGTGTGTGTACAAGCATGTGTGTGTGTGCGTGTGCATGAGCGCGTGCGTGTGTGCGTGTGTGCGTGTAGAGAAAGAGAATGAACAGGACCCCAGACTCTGTACTACCACCATCATATGCGTATGTGAAGTACTTGTCCAGAAGGTACTTGCATAGCATCTCGAACAGGGTGTCGGAAGTGTGCGGGCAGCACAGGTAGGTTTGTGTTTAGAACTGAATTCTGTTAACTGCACACTGTTTGTGGGGGGAGAGGTAAGGGTGACTCGCAGTAGAGAGCTACAGTCCCGCAGATGAAGTATACAGCATCTAGTATCATGAAGAATTAAAATCTAATGGTTTCGGTGCAGTATTCCTAAGTTCTTGGTTTCGAACGTTAACACTGCGTTACGTAAAAGTAAATTGGTAGAATTATTAGTTATTTATGGTGCAAGTTATTTACCTGTTATATCTGTTGAATGAAATTCTCTTGGCTCGTATATGTCTAGTACATATTTAAACACGTGCTTGACTGCACAATATACCGCATACCACATATTGGTACGATGTAACATGTAACATGGACATGTTTTTCAGGTCATTGTGGTTTCGTATACTGTGCACGCTGTGCAGGAAATACTACTGCTCTCTGGATGATAACCAAATAATGTTATGTGTAAGCTCTACTCGTACAGATTACGAAACGCAGAGTAAAAGAGAATATGTAGACGAGTTGTGCATCTGAGCAACGACAACATACTTTCAGGTCATGATGATTGCGACCTAAATTATCAACTTACTTTCATATACGCGTGTATAGGACAGCCAACTGTGGTCGGGTTGAAGATGGGTGTAAAACGTTTTCCTAGTGCGTTGCCAAGGACGTTCGACTGTGTGCCAAGAGCATATGCCTGCTCGGCTATGTATATTTTGCAGTAGAAGCAAAACGTGCACGTTGCGGTTGCGATTGTGTAAATACAAGTATGTGTATCATCACACTCGCGATGTGTGTGGTGAGCTGTGCATCCTGCCAGCGGTAAATGCAGTGAGCGTATTATCAACAGTAACTTCAACAAGAGAATTAATCTTACGCTTACTCCAGTAATGTGCTCTGTAATCAGGTATACGATGACTGACCATTCTCTTGCTATACGAATTGTTTGTATATACACTATCATGGCTATTTTATTTTGTACGTGAATATCCATGGGTCCGGTTAGTACCCTCCTGTTTGACGGATCACATGAACGGTCTCTTTGTCTCTCAGTGCAGAGATTCTTCTAAGCATATGGTCGACAAAAACGTGTGGCAGTAGTGATAACCCAAAGCTATCAATCTAAGGCCAAGTGCGTGTCAATAAGGCAGTAGTAAAGTAGTAAGGAGGGCACATAGTAGGCTTGCCCCTACTGTGCAGCAGCAGTGTAACTGCATAACGATGCCAACTCGTGTTTTTATGACAGAAGAAACCTTTTTCTCCAGATGAGTAACTAATACCAGCTTTTGAAGCCAAGAACTTTGATGTGTTATATTTTACGAAAGCGTAAAACCAAGGAATGGTTAGATGAGTTCTGCAATCAACGTGTAGGGAATGAAAAAACGTTAGGAGTGATATGTATAGGTACATTCTACAAACCAAAATAGCCATCACATTAAAAAACTGCAGCTAAATATAAATAGCAAATTATGTATACTAAGAGATATGTCCTTTATAATTTTTCGAATCGATGAGTTGTAACGAGACGCAATGTTTGATGCTGATTGTGGCATGTACATTGATTACATTGCAGATATCAGTTACGCTAATGCAAGGCAATATATAATGTGTTCTATGTATTATTCATGCAGATTTGTAGAAGCACCGATTGCTTGGTGGTAGTGAACAAACCATGTAATGCATCCCAATTATTTTTTAAATTCATGGATTTCAAGTTTAAATAAATGTTAGCCATTTACATTGTCTTGTTCCTTGTGAATTCGTGAATTCATTTCTGCCCTATCAATAACAGATGACACATGCTTAAAAATTAATGTACCTTATCCAGATTGATACATTTGAAAAGCTTTGCCTTTAATATATAGTACCGCAACAGCCATACATAAATTATTATATATATACAAAAATATGGCCTCAAAAAGGCTGAAGAGCTCAGACAATTGCTAAGAGGAAAATTTCAAGCAAATCATGCAGGAGTTTGGCTTCACCAGATGCCTTACTACTATACAATTGTGTACTACGAATGCATGCAAAACTGAGATTTCCCAATTATAATATCAAGCGTACCTCTTCCAGCACAAGCATTAACGGATTAGTAAAATACTGTGTCTGCACCGCATCGCTACTCAATTGCAGAGCAAGGTAACAGTGAGTATGATGTAACAAGCTTTCGATAAGATTTGCGTACATATAATGCAATATATATGTGCACATTTCACTAGCGTGAGATGTGCATCTCAGTCCCATCACAATCTAACCCACCACTTATCAAAGGCATGCAACACAACCACCATATCACGTTCTCGTTAAACCATGACAGCTTCCGCAAAAAAAATTCAACTCGACTGACATTAGACTGGACTGTATAGATATATTGGCTTGATGTCTCGCGTACACTGAGATCATGCCCCTATGCGGCAACCATGCTGACAATATATTTAACATCAGTATGACGACCAAATCTGCTCCATCAAGAAGCAAATGACCCTTAAAGGTAGTTGGAATATGACCACTACGATGTACGCAGGATAGTGTGGTGGGTGTAGTCACAGAGAGCAGCTGGAGTACAAGCAAGGCAGCAGGCCCTACAGATGTCACGCGCACTCCTGCACCATTCAATCCCTCAATCATTCACTCAGTCTGCTGCAGCCTACGTACGCTATTAGTGCTGCCACCTATACACGACAGTAGCAACAAAAACGACCGTACGCACAGTCACAGATAAGTTACCACCAAAAACGCATCTAGTGATTACGATACTGGACCACGCATTAGCATGAGGTTTCGCGGAAGATACTTAGGTTAAATAGCAATGGGATGGGTAATGAACCTACGATTATATATGTGATAGATCGTACGGGAAGCGGCAGACAGTCAGGAAGGCAGCTTGCGATAACATATTGATTAGCATATAGGCATGATTGATAGACACTCCTAGATAGGGCGCTGTTCAACACATCACTCATGGCCATGAACCGGTGTATGATCAAGATGCTGTTCAGCGTATAGGCATGGGCGATCCCGTGTTCGATGTGCTTGTAACATCCTCGGCATCCGCCTGGTTATTCTTCAACTCCTGCAGCGTATGCACCAGCCTCGACCACTCGTCGTTCTTCGGCACTGCCACTTGCTGCAACGAGACCAGACAGATGTTTGTTATCGCAAAGCAAACCAAACCAGCACGACTCACACTTCCCCCCCCCCCCCACACACACTAGATACATGGACTTGCGGCTCAGGGGCACTTGCCGAACGCTTACAGCGGGATTTACTGGGTTATTATCAGAGTAGCTGCATTGCAAAAAGTTGAAACAAAACTCGCTATTGAGAAATTTGAGAAAACAAAGGTTGAGAAATTATAACATGTTCTCATCCCTCAACTAGTCGAGTGATTCAACTTTTACGTTTACGCTGCCGAATTTCGGTCGACTAGTTGAAAAGTTGATCCACTCGTGAACTTTTCCACTAAAAGTTGATAGTGCAAAGCCAGCTTACTTCGCCGACATCGTAGATGCTGACTTTGCCCATGTCGTCTCCGACGGCAAGCTGATGGCCGGACTGGCTCCATCGCACGTGGTTCAGAGCGGCTCCATCCTCCATGTTGATGCTCGCCACCGGCACCTGCAACGTTCACACCACCGGACGCAACACAGCCGATGAGAAGCGCACACATGCTTAAAGGCATACTAGGCCCATTGATGCAATGCTGATGAATGCTAGAGTAACTGGCACCTTGTGTAGTTAATAAGTACATAACCTTACATCCAAATGCGTATTAGTTTGTCCAATATCACTGCTGGTTACTAAGAAATGTCTAATTGAAATCCGCAGTCCAAGCAATCAGTTGTTTACAGTTTCAAACTGCTGCCGGCGAAGCGGGTGTGATACAGATTTGTAGTGCACCGGACACTTTCGCACGCATGCTCGGCCGTACGCAATGCTATCATCAGTGATTTCGTAAACACGGACGCTCGTGATAAGGAATTTTTGTCAGGGCTGTCAATGTGTGTCCGTGATTAGTACGTGTGTTTTACTCCATTTCCATGTTTAGTCCGTGGCCGTGGTTACACCGCTGACACCTCCATTTCATCTGGCGTCCAAAACATACAGGCCGCACAAATGTTTACGTCATCGCTTGACTCCTGGATGACATTTACGGCACGTAAATGAATATCAACAACCGATTTCAAGTCTTGCTTGTAATGTAACCAGCAGTGATATTAGACAAACTAATACGCGTTTGGCTATAACGGTTATGTATTTTTTAACTACACAAGGTGCCAGTTACTCTAGCATTAGTCAACATTGCATAATCAATGGGCCTAGTATGCCTTTAAACAGTACAGACCTAATGGCAATGAGAAGCGCACACATCCTTGCAAATAGTATAGACCTAATGGCCGCTAGCCGGTGCTTCCTAGTTTAAGGATAGCACTAGGCACGTATAAATTGACTGACAAGACTGTCTTCATAACGACTTCCACTGTACTTAAGTAAAGTATGTACCATCTAGACTTACATTTTCCTACTACATTGTCGCACACAAGCAACATCATGATAAGTTCACGTATAGACACCAAGGCACATTTGCGCATGGCCTGCATGACTCACCTCAGTGTCTGTGTTGAGGTTCCACAGGTCGAGCCGACCCATGCCATCGACGGTGGCAAACAGAGCTGGGTGGATAGGCGACCAGCGCACATCGTATACATAATCGCCGTTGTCTTCAAACGAATACAGTGGTCTATTGTCCTGCAACGACGACGAGACGTCCGAATTAATGCACTCGACAACATATTTCACGGCTAAGAGCCGATTGCTACAGGACAGAATTGTTGTCATTAATAATTGATAAACATGTTTTTTCACAAGTGATTAATCCCATTACTGCTACTGCAGCAGCTGCTACTGCTGCTGCTACTAGTACTACTGCTACTGCAGCAGCTACTACTCTGTTGCTACTGCTGCTGCTGCTGCTGCCACCACTAAAATGCCACAACACACTACAATGCCACTGCCATCACTACAATGGCTATCCTCCAAATACCTTCTGGCTCCACAGCTTGACAGTCCAGTCAAAGGAGGATGTGACGAACAGATGGGAGAAGTCTACCTGTCCCTGAGCGAGGTGACAGTCGATGCCAGTAACGGGACTCTGGTGTCCCTCGAACATGTCCAGTACTCCCGTCTTACTGCAACGATTGAGCACACGGAGATAAGATTAAATGCCACGTTTAAAGCGCAACACAGAGTTACGTTTTTATCTTATTGACAAGACATTTCATATTTCAGCGAAGACTGTTTCAGGTTAGAAAGAGATATATCCACATTCACTGTTTCGCCATAATAAACCTGTTAACACTTATTGTAATCAACAAAGCCTTACAACTTGAGCCAAGTGTACAGTTCCAGTCCCAGAAAACTCAAAAAATTTATGCTTCCAAATCTGATATCAGTTTAATACCCTTGCCTACATATTTAACTTGAGAATTACTATTCAGACACTCACATGGCTCTTAAGCAGCAAGTTTAAGTATTAGCCTTTTCTCTTCCCGGTTTATTCAGTTATTTTGAATTTTTATTATTTTGCTCTTACTCAAAAACCAATTTTTTACTCAGGTAACTTTATACCACTACTGTAAACAGGGTCAATGAGCAAACCTCATAACCATAATGTTAAAGTAACTATTCATAGGAAAACGACATCTAGCAAATATAGGACCACAACTACTTCTACCTATCGCTCCAAGCACAGCGACACTGTAGCGCAGTATATAATAAAACTCTTCAGTAGTTCTTAGACACGGTAGTGTGTCTAGCCGAGAGTGACCTCCCCCCTGCGTGAATGTCCTGGATGCCTACCTGCCATGCCTGCAGGCTGTGTATACGAGACCTTCCTCACTGCCCACAATGAAGTTGTTCACGTCGCCGTACGGGAAGCACATGCACGTCACTGCTACCGCCTTCGTCTGCTTGTGCTGCAGCTCCATGCTCTCCTGCCGTGACAGACGCAGTCAATCAGCATTAGCTCGTGTATGACATTGCAAGATTCTCACCAGGAATTTCCCAAAGCATAAAGTCCATGGATGCGTGGAGCTTTTTTTAATCAATAAACTTTTGTCATTTTTAGGTATTTTATTATCATCTAATGATCAGGAAAAGGTTTTAAAAAAACATGAACGTGAATATTAAAAAACACAGTTGGAAATTAAGGCTCGTCAATTAGGCAACAAGGCATGTCGGAGTATTCATGTGATGACGTAAATGAGCTTTAGCTTTGAAGGCATGCTGGACTCGAAATGCGATGACATGGCACACAACATGGATACGCAGGATGAATGTAGTTTTGTGCAATGCATGCCATCAAATGCATTCTTATTAAGACAGTCAGAAAGCAAGACACTGTGCAACACCCTTAAGCACCTGCGCAATTTATGGCAATACATATCTCAACTACCAGGACACTGGACCAGTCACATCTTCAATCAGTGCAGTACCCATCCTATTACGTTTCTTGCTACTACGACACCCAATAAATCACATCTTTCTTCATGCAGCATATATCCAATCATATCCTTTGTCACCACGGCACCCATCTAACGGCATCATCAATCACGATGACACCCACACAATCCCATTTCCTGTCACTGCATCACCCACACAATCCCACCTCTTGTCAGTGCATCACCCACACAATCCCTTCTCTTCCCACGGCATCACCCACACGATCCCTTCTCTTCCCACGGCA